TGTGTGTGTGTGTGTGTGTGTGTGTGTGTGTGTGTGTGTGTGTGTGTTGGAGAAGTGCAAATAGGTAGGTTAGTTCTGCCTGAGAAGAAAAGCTCTTACACGCAGTGTTATGTATCTGTGCAAATAGGAATTAGAAGCTACTCATTGTAATTGTCACAACTGTACTTCTCCTTTATTCGTGTGAAAGAAGTATTTTTCAGGTTATAAAGCAACTTATATAACCACACTCATGTTATTTTAAAAAAAAATGAAGCCCATATATCCTTGTGTATATAAAATGCTAAAGGATGATACATCAAAAGACATGTATACTCAGAGATAGCAATGCAGATGGTAGGTGTTTGCTGCACTGCTATTTGAAATTTGCGGGGGGGATGTCTGGGTGGAACAGAAAGAAGAGGGATAAGGCTTCTCAGTAAACGGTGTTTCTGGCTTTTTTCTTATGTTCTGGTGAGTATGTTAAATGAAACTGAGGAAAAGATGCATTACAAAGTGAAAACATTGATGAGCTCTCCAGCATCTCAATCCATGGGCCTTCGTTTTTTTCCCTTTCTATTCCTCTTATTAAGTACTTTTTAAATTTTTAAAAATTTTTTTACAATTTTTAAAGGTTACTTTCTATTTACAGTTATTGCAAAATATTGGCTATATTCCCCATGTTGTACAATACATCCTTACATGGGCCTTCATTTTTGTTTCCAATTTTAATCCTGATTTATTTGGAAAAAGTAATTAGTATTTTTTTGTAATGCTCTGAAAACAAAGTTAAATTCAAAAATAAATCCTCCTAAGGACCACACAATAGTACACCATAGGACTTCATAGTCTACGGGAAGATCATGTGTATTAGTACATGAGACTCTCAGAAGCCACTGAAGGGAGATGGGTCAAGAAATAGGCCCATTCTATAAGAAACCCAGCTCGGAGGCTTGGCTGAGGTCCAGTGCTGGTAATGGAATTGAAGGAGGCTTTACATTTCTGGTTCCTAATCCAGTGTCCTCCTTTGCTCCTCTGCCGCTGACTCTTAGGGAAACGCACCCCAGCTCTTTGAGTCCCAACTTCGGTATTTTCAAAATGTACCCTATTTCATGTACTTGGCAGAGCTGTTTTGAGAACCAAATTGTATAGTGCAGTGGTTCTCAAGGCATGATCCCCAGACCGGCAACAGGACCATCTCCTGGGAGCTTGTTAGAAATGCAGATTTTCAGGCCCTCCTCAAACCTGAATCGGAAGCTCTGGGGGTGGGGCCCAGTGATCCACCTCCAGGTGATTCTGATGCACACTCAAGTTTGAGGGCCACCAACGATGTGTGTGAGATAGCCTTTTGAAAAGAGCAAAGCATTATAGAAATATAAGATAATGTGCTTATTTTTCATTGAGGTAAAATTTATGTATAGTGAAACCCAAAGATCTTAAATGCACAATTCATGAATTTTCATATCATGTCATCACCATACCAAACAAGACATAGAACTATCACCCCATAAAGTTCCCTCCCATGGGTCCCCATCCCCCTTGGGCAACCGCTGTTCAGTGATAGACTTTTCGTTAGAGGAGGTGAGATGATTTGATGATGAGTTGGACATGGAAAGAGCAATAACTGTATTCTCCTTTACTACTTATATCTAACCTTTTCTTTTTTAAATTACTAATCATAGTTCTCTGTGGTTTTTCAGCCCATGGACCAAGCTTCTCTCAAAAACAGCGATGTTCTCATTCTGACAGGCCTTACCCAGATTCCCACTGCAAACCCAGACAGCATGGTGGGAGAGTTCTGCAGCAACCTGTGTATGTATCCAATGCAAATCTTAAACAAGATAAAATGTTTTACATTTATTTTTTGGTACCTTGATTCTGTGGTATTTTTTGTCCCTTTCCTTCACATTCACACCCTCTGATGCCCCCTGCTACGGCCTTTCCCCCCATTTATTCCCACCCTTTCTGCTCATCCTTCAAAGCCTACTGTTGTCAACAAAAGCAATTCTTAAGCAACTTAAATCTGAAAGCACAATAGTGTTTATAACGGTAAATTAGAATTTTTAGCACTTTATACAACAAATGCTCAACATTTCGCCCAGTTGATTTATGTAGAAACTCTTATTCTTCTTGTTTTCTGGTGGGATTTGGGAGTGGGTCGGGGTGCTTATAGGGTAAGCAAAGTTAAAGAAGGAAAGAATCATATCTTTGCTTTGCAAATAATAACACAGAAAAGACTGTTGATACTTTGAATTCACAACAGTGATACAGGTGAAACAGTTGTATTTTTTTCCCCACTATTTGGTTGGTATAATTTTTTTCTTCTTTTGGGGGAAGACTGAATTGAGAGACTTGTTGGGTATTTGCTACCTGGAAGAAATGTATGTTTCTTTGGATATAATTGTCCGTAAAATCTAGAAATGCTGCATTTCTTTTAGAAATGTGTAGGTTGCGTATTGTCTTAGCTTAGGCTACTGTAACAAAATACCTTAGTATAAGCTTTAAGCAACACTAATTTCTCATAGTTCTGGAGGCTAGGAAGTCAGAAGGTTGCCAGCATGGCTGGGTTCTGGTGAGGGACCCTCTTTCTGGCTTGCAGACGGCAGCCTTCCTGCTGTGTCCTCACTGGTGAAGAAAAGCTGTTCTGGTGCCTCTTCCTCTTCCTCTTCTTATAAGTGTGCTAATCCCATCATGGGGGCTCCACCCTAATGGCCTAATGGCCTCATCTAGATGTGGGTACCTCCCAAAGGTTCCCCCTCCTAATACCTAATTGGGGGTAAGGGCTTCAATACATGAACTTTAGGAGACACAAACCTTCACTCCAGAACTGTTGCCAAAGAGGAGTTAATACGCTCAGGCCCTCCATCCCTGGCAACTCTGGGGGAAAGAAGTGGTTGTCATCTAATATTTACATGGAAGGCACTATCCTTTGAAATTTCACTTGCCCTTGCCAATAATCCTAGTCTTTTTTTGTTCTTTGCTGATTTTAAGACAAAGGTAGTTTATTCTTAGCTTGGAAAAAGTATCAGACTGGTCTCAAATAGAATCTTTGATTTGTATGTTTGTGTATAATCCAGAATCATGGACTCAAAGAACTTCAGGTCTTAAAGGAACTTTACATCTAATCCACTGTTTCTCAAAGTGGGGTCCACTAACCACCTGCCTCAACATCAGTGAGGCCACTTCTCAAAAATGCAAATTTTGAGGCCCCACCACAGACCTAGTAAGAGAGACCCATAGAAAAGTTGCATTTTTAACATGTTCTGGCAGTTTCCATGCAAAATAAAGCTTGAAAACCACTGATCTAGTTCACTCCTCTCATCAGCGATGAGGAAGCTGAGGCCCAGGAGGTTACAGTGGCCTAACTAAGGTCCCATAGCTTGTGACTGAGGCGGGTCTAGAGCCAGGCCTCTTGAGCGCTGATGGCTATCTGGTCTTTTCCGTGGTTCCGTACTCTAGTAATAGCAAGTCAGCCAGTATTCCAGGCACGGCATCCAGGAGAACCTGGATGTCAGAGTTGGGAACATGTAGGAGAAGGATAAAAGTCATCAGAGACTTCAAGTTCTGTACCCAAACGGCTGCTTGTTTCAGTCTATGTTGGAAACTGAACAAAAAACAAACTTAAGAGATCTTTGGCCTTTTTTTAGCCAATTATAGCTTCTAATATGATTTTACCGTAAGTTGCAATTCCTCATTTGATAACTTATTTTAAGTATTTAAAGTATAGAGGATTTTCTTATAGCCAAAACATTAATGAAAGAAAATGCTACTAAAATGAGTCAAACAGAAAAACTTGGCCTGTTTCCTTATAGGTCATTCAGCAGTGGTCAGAGGCTGAAGAGAGACAAATCCAACAGAGTTTTGAGCAGGAGCTAAAAAGAGAAGGAGCTTGGAGGGTCTGTCCTGAAGCTCATCTGCCATTGGGAACCTTGACAACCCAGACCCCTAACTGCACACCCTGTTCCCAGGCACTGAGACATTGGTTAAAAACTCAGCTGATCATCAGTCAGCCTCTGGATCCTCCCACTCCGGTGCTAGTCTTCAAAAGAAGTAAATTGTTATACATACGAAGTGAATTAGAGGAACAGATGTAGGAAATGAGAGAAATGCAAATATTATTTTTAAAGTTCTGTTCTCCCTGTGTTAAACTGTTCTTTTGATACTACTTTTTTTCCCCCTCTGGCTTCAACCTTTCTTTTCTTTGTTTTTTTTTTTTTTAATTGAAGTATAGTTGATTTACAATGTTGTGTGGCTTCAACCTTTCTAGCACTGACAGTCCGGAACGGAGGAAACGTGTTGGTCCCCTGCTACCCTTCTGGAGTGATCTATGACCTTCTGGAATGCCTGTATCAGTACATTGACTCTGCCGGCCTCTCCAGCATTCCTTTCTACTTCATCTCCCCGGTGGCTAACAGTTCACTCGAGTTTTCCCAGATTTTTGCCGAGTGGTATGTCTCTGTTCTTCCTGTGATTCAGTACATTCAAGCAGTAAGAAAAGAAAACTGTTCTTAATTTTAATTTAAAAAGAAATAGAAGTAATCCTATATTTTTCTCATATTACTATGAAACCTTCATTTTGTTGTTTTTCCCTGTGATGTGAAGATTATATTAATGAAAGCCAGATCTGTGATATTGCCAGGGTTTAGAGGAATTGTTATTAAGAAGGGGAGGAGGGAAGGTGGGAGAGCGAAGACATAGCTTAGCCAGCACTTTGAAAATCAGTAACAAAACTATTACACACTTACCTTCTCACATGCTACCCTCTATCTATTACAAAAGCTAAAAGCTAAAAAAAGTTCAAAGCCCAAGCTCACGTTGTCTAAAATTTATAATACCAAATCTGATAGGAAAAACTAGCTTATTTTTTCATTTCAATAGTATATTTGGCAAAAGCAAGTTTTACTACAACAGGAAATTGTTTGATCAAATCCTAGGATGGGTAAATTATTGAACACTATGAAGTGGGTGAACCTTTTTAGGATTATTTAGATGGATATTTGAATCCAACTCGCCTGGCCAAAAAAAGTCAGGGGTAGGAAGAAATAGAGCAACTTAACTTTTACAGTGGATCCAGTAGTGCCTTAGGATGGGACTGTGACATACATATATATAGGGTGTGCTTAATCCCGTTTAGTGGTGTGATAGCCTAATAGACACAGTATTCTTCTACGAAGCTTCTACTTTAAAAGGGATTTTTGGGCTTCCCTGGTGGCGCAGTGGCTGAGAGTCCGCCTGCCGATGCAGGGGACACGGGTTCGTGCCCCAGTCCGGGAAGATCCCACATGCCGCAGAGCGGCTGGGCCCATGAGCCATGGCCGCTGAGCCTGCGCATCCGGAGCCCGTGCTCCGCAACGGGAGAGGCCACAGCAGTGAGAGGCCCGCGTACCACAAAAAAAAAAAAAAAAAGTAATTTGTACATCGTTCTGTACAACATACGTCATTTGTACAACATATCCCAGCATTATGGTGTGCACCCTCCCCTCCCCACCTTTTTAAATACAGTTTTTTTCTCTCTATTTTAGTTGTGGTGAAGGTCCTTTTTTTCTGTTTTTAGATCCAGGCAGTTTTCTCCATCCCATGTGCATATTATTCATGTTTGTCCATAGGACTTTTCGTTGTTATTTATATTTGACTTATTGTTAGTGACTAATAATAAAAATTCACTTTTATTGGTAGCCATTGAATTTTATCCTTTGCTTAGAGTTTTTTCTCCCCCAACACAGGAGGATAATCTTGAATAAGTGGTAGTCCACCCTAAGGATGACTTGCACATTTAATCAGCATGTTCTGAATTTCTTCATCCAGATCCTCAGTTAAAAATATTGAAAACTACAAGCTCCTGGGCAAGCCCTTGTGGGCCCCTGTGGATGGTGTCCTAGCCGGGTGTGTGCCCTTCAAGTCCACTCTTGACCCATTACATGCTTTTCTTATTGTCAAAATGTCTGATTGGGTAGAATTCAGGACTGCTAAAGTAAGAGTAGGTTGTTTTTGAGTTTTTATTTTTTGATGTTTCTAATATGTGTGTAATACATGTTTACTATAGAAAAAGATAACAAGTTAACAGAGAACAGTAACCCGTGATCCCACTGTCCAGAAATAATATCACTGTTAGAATCTGATGTATTTCTTCTTTCTATATAGGGATCGTGCTGCATATTTAATTGTGAATCCTGCCTTTAAATTTTTTAATACTAGATTAGAGCATTATAAAATCTTTGAGACCATAATTATTGCTTGACTGCATTATTACATCATTAATCATCATTTATATGTAGTATAATTTACTTAACTATTGTCTGAAGGGGTGGACAGGCTTTTCCCAATTTTTTTCCTTTTAGTGATAAATTTTCAATTAATATCATTCTGTGTATATATGACTACATCTTTTGCTTTGGGTTAGTTACTAAAAATAAGATTACTGGAACAAAGGGTATAAATAGCTTTTAATGTTCATTATACAAATCTAAACTGCTTTCCAGAAAAATTTTTATGTCATCTGTAAATTGTTCCTTTTTTGCCCATTTACTTATCAGAGGTGTTGTACTTTTATCTATTTATTTGAACTCTATATATGTATTAAAGATCCTAACACTTTGTTATATCTGCAGACATTGTTTCCCATTGTGATACTTTTTTTCAATTTCGTCTTTGATTTTGTTTTTTGAATAATAACTTGTTACTTTAGTGAATAATTTTAGGCACAGAAAAGTTGCAGAGATAATACAGAAACTCCCATATACCTTCCACTCAGTTTCCCCCCAATGTTAACATCTTACATGGCCATGCGTTCTGTACCAAAACTAAGAAATTAACATGAGCACTCTATTATTAACTGAACTCCAGTCTTTATTCAAATTGCACCAGTTTTTTCACTAATGCTTGTTTCCTATTCCAGGATCCAATCCAGGGTACCACATTGCATTTAGCTCTTTGATTTTTTTGACAGAAGTGTTTTAGTTTTACAGCTTTATGTATTGATGCTAAGTGATATAGCATATTATCCTTTGCAACAATCGAAATTAAACTTTTAAGCTAAGAACTTTTGTCTCTCCTCCTGAGTTTGAAATAAAGACAGTACTGTTGTCTGTTTAGATATTATTAATAAGCAACCCTTCAAAAGTATCTTGTTCCCATATGTACAACTTCTTCCAAAAAGGATATAAAGTAATGTTTTTGAAATCGAGTTAAACTAAAGAAGGAAAAATTAGATAATTGTATTAATGAAGTTCAGACAAAATCCAAGCCCCAGAGTTCTGAATTATTCTGCCAAAAGTAACATCTATTAGAATTGTTGAAATGCTTTAGTTCTATTTTGATAGAATTCTTAGAAGCAGGCTTTAACAAACATAATCACTACATATATTTTTTCCAACTTTTAAAAATGTCAGAGCTACAGAACACCCACGTAACTTTGATTTAACAATTGTTAACCTTTTGCCACATTTGCTTTTCCAGAAATCTCCATATTTTAAATGTCATACCTGGCTAGGGAAAAACACAGACTACCTAAAACATTCACGGTGTCTAGATTAAGATAGAGTTACTGGAGAGATTTATTATTCTCCAGTTTGAGTTACCAATTCTGCTATTAATGAAATGGTGCATGTATAAAATAGAAAAGCTATGTCTCAAAAAAAAAAAAAAAGTGTATCACTTTCTCCTCAAAATTGATCACAACTAGGGAATTCCTTGGCGGTCCAGTGATTAGGGCTCTGTGCTTCCACTGCAGCGGGCACAGGTTCGATCCCTGGTTGGGGAACTCAGATCCTGCAAGCTGCGAGGTACAGCCAAAAAAAAAAAAAAAAAAATTTTTTTTTTTTTTTTGATCACAACTAAATACAATACGGTATCTTAGATTAGATCCTGGAACAGAAAAAGAACATTAGTGGAAAAATTGGTGAAAGCTGAGTAAAGTCTAGAGTTTAGTTAACTGTAAAGTACTAATGTTTATTTCTTAGTTTAACAAACATAGTGGGATACCAGCTAAAAGGTACATGGGAACTCTGTACTGTCTTTGCAACTTTTCTGTAAATCTAAAAGTACTTCAAAATAAGAAGCTTATTTTTAAAGAAAAAAATGTATTGAGGAATTTCAAAGGTTAAAACTGTGCTCACAAGTGACTTATGTCCTGATTACGCTATAAATGCTGGTGTTTTATTCACAGTGAGATACACTGACAGGAAAATTTCAAATAAACTTCGGTATTAAGTATTTGCGCTGCTACCACTAGGTGGCGACAGATGCCACTGTACGCCCTTGCCTAACCTGCTGATCTGTTTTTCCTCCTCAAAAGGCTTTGTCACAACAAACAGACTAAGGTGTATCTCCCAGAACCGCCTTTTCCTCATGCAGAGGTAAGAAAATGGAATCACTGGGTCCGAGCAAGAACAAAATGTAGATAAATAGATATGGGTGGATATAGCAGGTCATTAGCTTTTAAAAATCTGAAGGTAGTTTGATATAGCCCTTTGTTTCCCTTGTAAGATGGCAGTGAAGTACTCTGACTCAAGATTCGTTACTTTCTCTTCTTCTTAACACATTATATTACCAGTATGTTATTCAGTTAATAGCCTACCTCTGTTTCATTGACCGAGTGAGGAATTTTATTCTACTTTTTTGCATAAATGATTTACTTATTGCCAAAGTCTTCTTTTTGTTTGGTTATGTCTGTCATTGGTATAAATTTTTAATGATGAAAATAAGAACATTGCAGTTTAGAAAACAGAAAAATTCCCCCTTCCTCACAGAACGAGTGAGTGATTTTATGTGGCTGTGTGTGCCCAATTTTGTTTCTACTGCTTTTTTTTTCACCCAGTGCTGGGTGTATCATGGACATTTATCTGTGCACCTCACTGTTATTATTGCTACCTAATATTCCGTAGCATATCATGTGAACATACTATAGTGTACTTAACCATTCCCTTCCTATTGGACAATAGCGTTACTCCCAGTTTTTTGTTATGTTTTTTGAAAAGGATGTGTAAATTGGTATAACCACTTTAGGAAACTGACAGTAAAGTTGAACCTAGGACTGTGACATCCTCTGTGTTTCAGCTGTTTCGTTCCCAAAGTCTGTACTGAACAGAAATGCAGGTGTGTCACCCAGAGATCTGCACAGAAATCTTCATAGCCCTCTTGGTGATAGTGCTGAAATGTACCCAAATGTCCATCAGCGGGTGAATGAATTTTGTGGTCTATTCACACCTTACATCAAAGAGGATGAAGGGACTCCGATTATATGCAACAATGTAGATAAATTTCACAAACATAATGTTAGTGAATGAAGCCAGATATAAAAGAGTAGATATGGTGTGATTTTATTTATATAAAAGTTCAAACACACAGAAAACTCATCTGTGATATTAAAAGCCAGGAGAATGGTTATCCTGGAGGTAGCAGTGGGGGCAGGAAGGGGACAAAGGGGGATTTCTGAGGAGCTGGTAATGCTGTTTATTGATGTGCATATGGGAACGTGGAAGTTTTCAGTTTGTAAAAATTCCATCAAGTTAGGGATGTCTGTGCAGGTACTTATGCATAGGGATTTTGTTGACTTATTTGCTATGCAGTTAACTATTCGGCTCAAGAAAATTGCAGCAGTTGTCCTGCTGATTATTTTAAATCTGACTACTGTTTTCCTACTCCAAAGGACAGGTCTCTCATGAACCAGAATGTCAAGTGGAAGGTTTTGAGGAAGTTATTTGCAGTCCTCATACTCTCTTAGAGCAGCCAAGATTTTTGCAAGCTCTGTCATTACTACAGTGAAATTCAGGCTAGATATCTCGTGTCAGAAAATTAAGTGTAGCAAAACATTAAGTGTAGCAAAACACTGAAAGTCTATTTGCCTCTTCCCTAATAACAATTAGCCTTTCTTCAGAACGTGTTCTCTAAGGGTGTTACCGTGTTCTTACCCACAAGTATGTCATGGATGACCTTTGTCCCATTTACAGTTAAGAATGTGAAAAGACCATAGGTGCATGATCAGGGTTCCTGAAATGCACTTGTCAATATTAGGGCGTGCTGGAGTTGATAATCGGTATTATGTGACCAGTGCCCATGAGAAAATACAGTTCTGCCCTTAGTACTGATTTAAAGAATTGCTTCACAGAATTCCTACCCTACAGCTTCATTGCCTATACAGTTTGGACCTTAAATCAGCACAAAGGTAATTCTGGATGGTCAAAAAGGTAGTAAGTCCGCTGGAAAAGTAGATCTGATTGGCAAAAAAAAAAAATCTCAGTTTGCCTTAAAAAGTGACTTAATTTATGTGCAAAGACCTGCTGCTCTTCTTAGAATCCCATTCATCTCCTTGACATCTGTGGATACAGTAGAACTAGTCCTTTAGTCAGCCATTCACCTGTTTAACTGGGGCAAGTAATGATTTTGGCCAGGTGGGTTATACAAAGAATGTCAGTTTTATTTGTATATAACTTGGAAGGGAAGTGGGAATGCAGTGATTGTTGCATCTTTACTATTCATATCCCATCCAAGCATGTGACACCTAATTAAGATCTCCAGGGTAATCTTGCTAATGAAAGCAGTCTCTCTGAATTAAAGATTAAATCTTCAAGATGAAGAGAGTCAGCTTCCATTTGTGGGCGGCCCCATTCTGGCCACATCCTCACCGTTGGGGTGACTACAGTGGGCTTGGAGTTGTTGGCTGGGCTCCCTTCGTAGGCGTTTTGGGTGGCTACAGGATTGAGCTGGGTCACAGACCAATTCTTTACCCATCAGACAGCATCTCAGGGCACTACTAGTTGATATTTAGGGTCTCTGAAGTATGGGTGTTTGCCATCTTTTTGTTGCTAGAGTGGGGCAGTGGGGGCAGGGCTGAGGCAGCAGGAAGAACTTCTGAGCAGTGCCACAAGATGCCATCTGTGGTTGTAACTGTATATGGCGTTGCCTTGGGTCGGGCCTGGCGTTAGGAGAGTAGTTCCCAGTGTTGTGCTAGAAGGAAGACCTTTTTGGTTCAAAACATTCACTTTTGAGACAGGTTTGAGACTGTGCGTGGCCTGCTTCTTACTATAGCTCTCTGTCGCGAGGACATCACATCTCCCGCATTGCCGAAAGCCAGTTTGTTCTTGTGTTTATTAAGTCCCCTGCCCCTCACCACAGTAACTTAACATAGCTGTACCGTCTCAAGAGGCAGTCCTGTGCTGGTAAACAGTTTTTCCTGTGTGAAGTGTTTATTGTTGACAGAGCTCAGTGATGCACAGAGTTTGGGAAACTTGTACTTCAAACAGTAACTAATATTGGGGACTTCGGGTCCTGGAGCTTGGAGTGTCAGGAAGCTATAAAGGAAGGGTTAGACAGAATCAGGCCATAACAACCTGAAAAGAAGTTTCCATTAAGTTTGGTGATTTTACCGAAAGGTCCCATCTTTTGAGAAAGTCACACTGTAGGTAAAAAATGTGGATCTTTGGCTAATATTAATAGCGTTATCTGGTATTTTTAATTTGTTCACTCTCCCATGCTGTGGTTCTTCCTTCCTGGGTAGGCTAACATCTCTTCATGTGCTTTTGACACGTATTCTAGCTCATTCAGACCAACAAGCTGAAGCACTACCCCAGCATCCATGGAGACTTCAGCAACGACTTCAGACAGCCGTGTGTGGTTTTCACTGGACACCCTTCCCTCCGATTCGGGGACGTGGTCCATTTCATGGAGCTCTGGGGAAAATCTAGTCTCAACACTGTCATATTCACAGGTAAATAAACCAACAAAACAAAACCCTGCCCTTCCCACTGTGACCATCCCTGCATAACCTGGTAGGATGTACCTACCAGGTAGAGACACTGGGAAGAATTTGACAGTAAGTTATAAGGTATAAATATGATCCCTATTCTGTTGTAAATACCAAAGGATAAAGCAACTGGAAGGGAAAGGGTAAGAACAAAGCAAAATGTCCTGTTAGATCACTGTGCACTGGACAGAGCTTTCATGTCTGTTTTTGTAGATTTTCACCGAGACAGATTTCTGGTCTAGAACTACTTTGGATAGGATTTTGTAAGCTGTTCAAGAACGGCAGGAATTCTAATAATCATTCTAATAATCATTCTAATAATCATTCTAATAATCAGTCTTGCTTTACTTGCTTTAGGACTTCCTTACGGCGGTGGATCTTTCTCCTTTGGTTATAGTTTACTCTGGCTTGCCGTTTTTCTTGTGGAGACCAACCCCTCAGAATAAAACTAATCCTTAAATGAGGGCAAGTTAGGGGTTTGACTTAATCACTATCTTATTTTATCAATTCACGGTCTTCAGACAGCCTTAGGATTTGAAAATCTCAGGGCAATGAAGTAAAAACACCTTGATCTGAAATCTGGTCCGAGTTACTGTAACCTCAGCCGGGTTACTCACCGCTCTGAGCCTCACTTCCGTCTGTAAAATGGGGTTGTTGGTCGCTCATCCTCAGGCAGCTCTGTGCATTTATGAAATGTTATAAGAAAGCACTCCTTATAGTGCCTGGCACAAAAGCCCGTTGAGAAAGTACCAGTAGCCTTCTTAGAGTTCTCTAATTACCTTTAAGACGTGAGCCATGGAGGAGAGTCTAGTTATGCCCAAAGCTTTGGGGTCAGGGATGCTTGGGCCCTTCCCTGTGCTCAGCCTGTTGTGAGGACCAACCAGAGGCCACCAGGAACGCACCAGTAATGGAACAAAGTTGGGGTACTGACTCCTTGCAGTGAGGGGGTACCGCCATGGGGAGGCAGGAGGCATCGCCAGGCACGTTCAGAAGAACTTACAGGCCGTGGCTTAGGTGATTTTGGAGGTGGGTTCCTTGTCCTGGCTTGGGTACCATCAGGAAGCAGTAGTTCTCTGGCTGGGTATCTTAGTGATTCTTGTCTAGAAGGTGAGAAGAATGGAGCCAGGAGAGGGCAGTGTTTGCTTGTTTGGTGGTTCAGACATGCTGTGGTCTTACGTTCAGGCATGATTAGGAAGGGTCTTATTTTTGTCTTGATCCGTCGTGGTCACTGCGTGGCCTTTTCTCACGTCAGCGTCATGTGAGGTGGTTTATGTCCAGTAAGCGGGTGCCACCGTGGCCTGGCCGTGAGTGCCGGGGGCGCTCAGAAGAGCAGCCGTCGGGTGCTGCTGTTCTCCCTCGCAGACCCCCTTTCAGCCACAGGCAGAGGAAGTCAGGCCCTAAGACGTTGATTCACGCTACCCAGAGCCTCACCATTGCCAAGTTCTGCTAAGCAGGAAGTCATCCAGAGAACGCTGTCTGTAGTAGGACTGAGGGGGTCTCTCCTGTTCTTTCTGAGGAGATGTTGGCTCTGATGTGACAGTGGGTACAGTATTACAGAGACACAGAAGAGGCGTGGCTATACTCCAAACGTCCCTCCAGCCAGCTAAGAAGAAAGCAAGGGCTACGTGATTGTCCGTGGCATTCATTACCAGACATTCATCTGGGTAAGGAGTATACATTTAAACTGGTGTGTTCACTTTCAGAGCACAAGTTGTGTCGTTGACAGTGTCTGCGAGGTTTGGGGCCACCTTATCTGGTTGTATTATGACTGTGGGAGTTGTAGCTCACACAGTATCCGTACAGAGAGAGGCGCTTATCCCCCAGGTAGCCGTGCTGGCCTCATTTGGGTGGTCTCTGGGTTCTTCCTGGGTAGACAGGATCCACTGCAGGGGAGGTCATTTAAAAAATCTGGAAGTTCTGTGAGTTGCCCTGAGGTCACCGAGTAAGTTCCTGGGAGCGGTGTGTGGAAAGCTGGGGCCGTAGGAAGTGGCGTCCTCGCAGGGCACAGACTGTGTCAGGAACCTGCGTGTCGTTTTTCACACCAGGAATGAGCCACTGCTTTTGGCCCGAGGTGGGCAGCTTCCTCCTGCGGAGCAAACAATCCCCGCCAGGCTGGCCGTGGTGAGCGGCTCTGCAGAGAACAAACCAGCCAGCGTGGCAAGGACAGTTCCCAGGCGCTGCACTGGCTCTGCTGATGGGGCATCGCAGCCTCAGCACAAGCATTTTGTTGACATGGGGTCAGGATCCTTCTTTTTCTTCTTCTGCGTGCATCCTGTCAAGTAGGAGGCACATGGTCTGTCTCCTACCTGGGGGTGACCTTTGAGCACTCTGTTCGAGTGGCTTGTGCCGGATTTCTCCACTGTGAAGTCACCGCTCTGTGTCAATCAGTATCTTGTGGGGGACACTTCGAGCCTATGTACTTATCCTGGTCTTCCCCATGTGTTTATCTAATTTTTTTTAGCATCTATTGATTCTGGTCCAAATAAATTATTACTGTGATGGTTGCCAAATGATGAAGTTTTTTTTTCAATTTCATCACTTCTTTTACATTTATTAGTTGGCATTTTGTTGTAAAGAAGAGCTTTCCTTTCTCACCCATTTACTTATTTATCCCCTCATTTGTCTCATCTCTCTCTCCATCTGTGTTGAAAACCTGGCGCTCACGCCGTCCCTCCAATTCCATATCCATCCTGCAGCGTTCAGTCCAGCCTCCCCCTCTCCTTATTTGTAAATCACTCCTCTCTCCCGTGATGGGGAATCTGGCTCCTGTAACCTTCAGTGCCTTTCCTGTCATGCTGCCCGTCTGCTGGGCCTCAACCATGCCAGCTGCTTCCTCACTGGGCCGTTCCTCTGTTGCCTGCATTTAAAATTTTCTTTCTTGTGCTCCCCTTAGAACCCGACTTCACATACCTGGAAGCACTGGCTCCCTACCAGCCCTTGGCCATGAAATGCATATACTGCCCCATTGATACGAGACTGAATTTCATCCAAGTGTCAAAGCTGCTCAAAGAAGTGCAGGTAATGGGGAAATTGTGCTGGCGGCTCCCGCGGTCCTGGCATCTCTGTGTGGATTATGTCTGCGGTGTGAGGGCCAGGATGGCGAGCTGCACTGCTTGTCTTCCTCACCCGTTCTCGGTCTGTGGAGTGCTCAGCCCGGTACCCTCCAGACTCCAAACCGGTGGGCTTTACACCCTGAAAGAAGTTTCTCCTCTAAAGAAATCAAAAGTGGGAGGAAAAGAAAGTGTAAACAGTGTCTCATTTTTGATGAGGACCATTTGTGTCCAGTTAAAAGCAAATTACCCCCTCCCACCACCAAAAAAAATCATTCTAGAAACATACTCGTCAAGCTGAAAGACAGCTGAACTGAAACATGTATTGGGCCCTTGTTGCACACGTGGGTTAGTACCACAGTGTTATGCTTTTGTTAGCGGATTGTTTTGGTTTGGTGGTTGCCGCTTTTTTGTTTGTTTGTTTCATTTTGCATTTTCTGCCTTAGAGAAAGGGAGGGAGTAGTTGGGGTAAAGCGTAGGCGAAAGGAGCACTGTTGGCCCAGAAGGAGAACGGGGAGGAAAAACTCACCGCCCTGGGTCACTTATCATTCGGGTGGCCCGTGTTTCGGGGTTGGAGGGGTGGTGGCAGTTGGTGAGGAAAACAGCTCAGAACAGGCGAGAGGAAGGGTTCTGATGTCCCATCACCTTGGTGTGCCCGGGACCTTACGTGAGCGCTGGGGTGCCCTGGACCCTAGTCGCTGAGCGAGGTGTGGTTGGCTCCCTACATTTCTCGGCCTGAGCTGGGAGATCACTTTCCTCCTCTTCACAGAACCCCTGACCTCAGGAAGAGAGGCACTAACAGGAAACTCTAAGGAAGGGTAGCAGGAAACAGAGAAAGCTGGAGGCCTCCGGAGCGCAGGGGTAACAGCTGATGGTGACCCCGAGCTTGCTGGGCCTTTCTCTAGACATGGTTGGAGCAGTTAAGCCACTTCCGATTTCCATGAGCGATCTGATACACCACTGTGTGCCTGTCAACTTGCTGGAAGAAACAGTTAAGAGCCTGTTGTTTTCACTCCTGAGTAATGTCACCCTCTGTCCCTGAACCACGGCAGACTCCGCAGCCCCTCGGTGGTGTGTGAATAAGGGAAACAGGAGGCCACCTGGTCTCCACTGCAGGGGAGGAGAACCTGGGGAGAGTCCTCAGGCAGTGACTGTGGAGTCGACTGGCTTTGAGACAGTTATAAGATGCTAACCAGGCAGGAAGGAGGGTGAAAGGCAGTCTGAAGAGGAGGAGAGGTGTCAGTCCTAAAGGACAAGTGCGGTTTGAAACGCAACCCGTCAGGTCTGTTGGAAGCCTTGTTCTTCCGGGAACTGGAGGCTCGGTCCAGACTCTTCAGTAAACGCAGTGACAATGCCTTGACTCTCTGGGTGCCACGTTCGGTTGGCAGTTGGGTGGTATTTGGCCAAAGTAAACATTGACTTACTAATTGGTTTTCTCTCAAGATAATAAAAAGAGACATCTGTTAAAAAATAAAAAAAATTCTATCTGATTCAGTGTGTCCTACACAACTGAGGATAAGGCCTCACCATTGCGCACTGCGTAGTACCAGTAGACCTGCAGATCCAGACCAGAAATCCAAACTAGCACAAAAAGTCACAGTTCTTGCTAATCAGCCAGTAGTGGTACCAAGTCGATGATGGGAAGTGACGAGAAGACTGCCCTCAAGGGGCTCAGAGGTCATTTGAGGGTAGACCCATGGCTGTCACCATCAAAGTGACTTAAATATAATGAAAAAATAAATGCAAACCAAGACAGTAAATCCCTTGCTCATCAACATGGCCGGCAGATCAGGGCTTTTCCCTGAAATTTTTGTTCTTCTTTCCCCCCACTTCTCTGGTTACTTGGGTTTGACAGGATGAGAATTCGAAACGGCCAAATGGTGAGCCTGAGCACTGCAAAGGGAGGCTTAGCTCAGGACGCGGCCCCTCCTGCCTCACAGCCTCCTCTTGTTTCCTCCTTCTTCTGCCCCCACCTGCCCCTGTCACGCTGGTTCCTCAGCCCCTCCACGTGGTCTGTCCTGAGCAGTACACCCAGCCGCCCCCAGCGCAGTCCCACCGGATAGACCTGATGATTGACTGCCAGCCACCCGCCATGTCCTATCGACGCGCCGAGGTCCTCGCCCTGCCCTTCAAGCGTCGGTATGAGAAGATAGAAATCATGCCAGAGGTGAGCTGTGCTGCTTCCCAGGGTCACAACCGGGTTTTCCACTTGAGTCTGCGGAAGACCGTCCCAGCAGTGGCTTTCTTTGGGGTTTGTATTACACATGGATGAACCAAAGCACATCGACCCTTAAGCAAGTAACTGGGAAGAGAGGTGGGATTTTCAGAACCTCCTCATTTTTCCAGTAATGAAGTAACAGCTGTCAACATCAGGCCTGCTGGAGCACTGCTTATATTAAAGCTTAATGTGTGTGGGAGGCCAGGGCGCAGGCCATAGCGTGGAGAACAGGTAAGCCATTGTCAGCTCTGTCCCTAACCACCTGAGGGTGTGGGTTTCCTCGTCCCTCCTGGACCCCATTTATGAGTGAGGGCCAAGTTTCACCAAGTTCAGAGATAGATGGAGGAGATGAGAGTAACCAAAAAGTAAGGAATGTAAACTTTGATTACTATTTGCATGCATTTTAGTATAACTTAAAGATTTTATCCTACTGAAGTCTAATATTTTTTAGTTCTATGATATCTGAGCTTGTTTTAATAGGGAAAAAAGGTAAAAAGCATGTCGTGCATGTGGGACAGCTGAGGTGGGTTGCGCCTGAGTGACAGGTGTGGAGAGGGGCAGTGGGAAGCGTGTGGCCCAGCTGCCGCAGTGACGGTGTGCCGAGCTCTGAGGACGCTGCTTTTGGCTTGCTGTTGCCGTCGGAGACGCTTGAACATGTTTTTAGCAAACAGGAAAAAGAAGTAGGAAAACTTAAAAGCAGTGTCCCCCGATTCTCTCTGGAGCTCAGAAGAGTAGCCAGATCTTGGACTTTGAAGGCTAAGGCCCTGAATGTTGCTCATTTCCAAGACCCTAACAAAGGCTGGTGGTGGAACAAGGCCAGGTGCCATCAATGGGGACCCAGTGTCCAGTACATTCAGTCCTTTCCACAGTTAACCTGAGTTGTTCTTTTTTAAATTAAGAGCAATAGACAGGGGCTTCCCTGGTGGCACAGTGGTTAAGAATCTGCCTGCCAATGCAGGGGACATGGGTTTGAGCCCTGGTCCAGGAAGATCCCACATGCCACGGAGCAGCTAAGCCCATGGGCCACAACTACTGAGCCTGCGCTCTAGAGCCCACAAGCCACAACTACTGAAGCCCACACGCCTAGAGCCCATGCTCTACAACAAGAGAAGCCACCACAATGAGAAGCCCGCGCACCGCAACAAAGAGTAGCCCCCACTCGCTGCAACTAGAGAAAGCCCACGCACAGCAACGAAGACCCAGTGCAGCCAACAATAAATAAATAACTTTATTTTTTAAAAAATAGAGCAATAGACAAAGGAGATCCAAACAGATTTCCGTAACTAATTTAGAGAAAATTGATTCAGCAAGATAAAACTAGCAAGACTTGTTTGCTAGATAAAACTAGCAAGTGGTCGGTCGTGTTTTTCACTAAGACACATAGAAGTAGATGATCATTCACATTTCAACTGCATTTTCATTTCACTCTTGGTTCCTGGGGAGGGAGCCGTCACAGCACATGTCCCCTCAGCAAACAGCATGTGGCCGGATTGAGGGGGCAGAAGAGCTGCCTGTGAGCCCAGGCTGGAGAGATGAAGTGGGGAAAGTTATAAAGGTGATTTTTTTAAAGGGGCAGTTTATTGCTTATTTGTAAGCAGTAAACCGGTGGAGAGATATGTATGGTTCCTCAGGTTGACTGCTTTGAGTGTCATTGGGATGTTTGTGGTCTGCTAGTTCTTTAAAAGGAAAATAGCCATTTTTCGTTGGAGCTTGTGAGAGCAGCTGCTCACACCCTGGTATCTCAGCTCAGCAGCTGACTTGCATTTCTCTCTGATAACAGCTCCTTCACAAGAGAGGTGGCCAGGGCTACCTGTGTCAGGAGTTTCCTCACGACCTTAGTACACCTGACAGTGAGCAGGGAACTGGCCTCTCCTCTGCTCTTCCCTTTGAGGCCACGTCCTACTGAGACCCAAGAGAATGAAGAAAGTTCTTTCAGCTCTGAATTCCAGGTTATCTTTTCTCCATATTTCATTGGCCCAGCCCTTTGGCTTCCCCATTTAATTGTAATGCAAATAATATGTTTATTGAGGTGTCACTATGGGCCAGGATCTGTACTCAGCACTTCCCATGGACTGTCTCACCCATCTTATGAGATGGGTACACTTACTCAATTAGACCTGGTCTTTTCCATCCCTGAGGAAACCTAGGTGATCACCAGTATGTGCCCTTTGTGCCCCAAAGGTCATTCCTAACAAGGTCATGACCTAACAAAGGTCATTCCTATGTCACAGATTTTGTCCTGTAAGTGAGAGTAGAGCCCCCAGTTGATCTGTGCCGCTGCGGCGATGGGGCACCCAGCCCACGGCCTTCCTGTGGGGATCGCAGTGCGGGCCTCTGTGTAATCCCATCACCAGCCGCAGCAGCAGCACTGGGGACTCGTTAAAAGTGCAGGTTCTCCAGCCCCACCTCAGACCTGCTGAATCGACACTCCAGGGTGAGGCCCAGCAGTCTGGGTTTCAGCCAGCCCTCCCCAGGAGCCAATGCTTGCTAAAATTTGAGGACCGCTGGTGTAAGAGACCTACCTCTTTTATGCCTTCTGACACTGAGCCAGAGAAGGAAGGGATTGGCTTTGGGGAGTGCACAGCACGCTCTTCTATCTTTCGTGAAGCTCCTCCCTCAAGTCCAGTGGGAGTAGACCAGCAGCCTTGACCCTGAGACCTGCCCCACGCCCACCTGTTTGTCACTGCTGGTCTCTGGGGGGTCACCTCCGTCTTCCTGCAGGTCAGCCAGGGCTCTTTTTGACCAGCTGTCCTCCTGAAGCCTCCTGCTAGAACATTGAAATAATTGCTCTTTGCTTTAGACTTCCAGTTGCCTAACCCATCAGGTTAATATTGCCTGTGTTGGAATTTTTTGTTTCGTTTTAGTAGTTTGGCGTTTATGATGGATTTTTTTTTCTTTTTTTTTTTTGATTGGGAGGGAGAGATGAAAGCAAGTTCCCCTCCAAAAAGGGGCCAAGTTTTTGTCTTGTGGTTTGTAGCGAAGAAGTGGCACTAACCATCCCCACTTCTAGTTATTTTGGTTGTTTAATATGTTTTTATGATTGTGCTTTTCATTTCCTCTGCATTTTGCTCATCTCAAAGTGAAAGGCTGTGACCCAGTGTCTTTGCGTTATTTTTGTCTGGTATTTACCTTCTGGCCAAGGTCTGTCTTACAGTGGCTGGGCTTGAAGGCTTAGGGTTAGATTACAGTACTCTAAGCCAGCAGTCCTCAAACTTTTTGGTCTCAAGACTTCTTAAAAATTAGAACCCCAGAGAGCTTTTGTGTATGTGGGTTATATCTATTGATATTTGCTATAATAGAAGTTAAAACTAAGACATTTAAAAAATATTTAATTCTTAAATGAATAATTAATGAATTATTAAATAAAAAATAATATAAACCCATTAGACGTTAACATCACTAAAAGATTTTTTTTTTAATTTTCATTTATTTTTGGCTGCGTTGGGTCTTCGTTGCTGCACACAGGCTTTCTCTATAATGGCGGAGAGGGGGGGACTACTCTTCGTTGCGGTGCACGGGCTTCTCATTACGTGGGCTTCTCTTTGTTGTGAAGCACGGTCTCTAGATGCATGGGCTTCAGTAGTTGCAGCACGCGGGCTCAGTAGTTGTGGCTCGTGGGCTTAGTTGCTCTACGGCATGTGGGATCTTCCCAGATCAGGGACCAAACCCATGTTCCCTGCATTGGCAGGCGAATTCTTAACTACTGAGCTGCCAGGGAAGCCCCTAAAAGGTCTTTTTTGGAAAATGTTTCAAAAAAAAAAGATAGAAGGGCACTGTTTTACGTTTGCAAATCTCTTTAACGTCTGCCTGTTGAAGACGGCTGGATTCTCCTGTCCCCTTTTGCTTTCAGTCTGTTGTGATATACAAGTCATGTAGCCTCTAGAAAATTCTAGTGAACCCTTGTGAGAGAATGAGAGTGAAAAGGCAAAACATTATTAATGACAATCATATTGACCTCGATGCTACAAAAGAGCCTCAGGAGCCGCAGGGGTCTCTGCCACCACACCTGAGAACCAGCACTCTGGATGGTCTTCTTTTGTTTTTAAGGCCCCTCAGGCTTCTCAAGCTTTTATGTTTATGACTCTGTCGTAAGATTCATTTTTCAATAAAAATAAGCTTGTTCATTCTAGAAAACTTGGAAAATAAGGGGGAAAAAAAGGATAAAGACAAAAAAAATCAGTCCTAATCCCAATACCAGACATAATTACTGTCCAATTTTTTAGTATTTGCTTTGTGCATTCACTCTGTGTGTGTGTTTGAGTCATACCTCGTATAATATCTTTGTAAAGTAACAGTATATTGTCATTAAATATATTTCAAAAGTATCTTAGGTATATAATGGTCTATCATAAATGCATCATAATTTAACTTCCTTTACTGGTGGACATTTATTATTTCTGCTTTTTCAAACTATAAATAATACTTTCAGAAACATTCTTTTACATAAATCTTTGTATGTGGAATGTAGATATAGAACTAAAAGTATCATTTGGTTTTGCCTGGGAAATGCATGTGGGACATGAAGGGGTTAAAATCTGTTGCTGTTCTTTAGGTTTTGCTACTACTAACGGATGCTTGTTTCTCCCCCAAATGAAAGTGTGTCCTGTGCAGCTTCCTTGTAAATCCTCCCTCTTGGTCCCTGTAGCTGCAAAGTGGGAGAGCTGACGTCAGTCCTGATGGGCATGCGCTAATAGAAAAATTCTATTTCTGCGGTGGTAGGTGGATGCATCCTCCTTCGCAGAGGTGTCTGGCTGAGTCATCTTGTGAGCTCTAGGTAGACTTCCCTTGTGGCAGAGCTGCCACTTCAGAGAGTCTTCTTGGAGATAGAATTTATTCCTGGGGCTGCCCAGGGAGAGCCTCTCACCTGCTTGGTTCCCACAGTGCTATCTGCAAACCTCCCAAGCCAATTCTTTGACTTTAAAGTTCTGCCAGACAACCTGACCTTTGATCCTTTGATGGGAACAATACAGTGTAGGAAGGAAAAGAATATTTATGGATGGGCATTGTCAGGAGCTCAGAGCACACACGCATCTCAGTGGGAACATTTCACACTGGTTTCATATGTTTTCTCTTTTTATCCCTTTTTCTTTTAATTGAAGTATAATTGACCTACTGCTGTGCTAGTTCCTGGTGCACAACATAGCGATTTAATATTTCTATACATTACAAAATGATCATCACACTAAGTCTAGTTACTGTCTGTTACCATATGACTTTATTACATTACTATGTTTCCTGTAATGTACACTTCATCCCTGTAAATCAATCTCTCTTACCTATTTCACTCATCCCCTTATCCCTTCCCCTCTGGCATCCACCTGTTTGTTCTCTGTATCTATGAGTGTATTTCTTTTCTTTTTTAATGTTTGTTCATTTGTTTTTTAGATTCCACATATAAGTGAAATCATGGTATTTGTTATATTATTTCACTTAGCATAATACCCTCTAGGTCTATCCATGTTGTCACAAGTGGCAAGATTCCTTTTTTTTTAATGGATGAATAATATCCCACTGCATACACACACACACACACACGCACGCACACACACACGTACATACACAGACCACATCTTCTTTATCCATTCATCTGTCAGTGGACACTTAGGTTGCTTCCATATCTTGGCTATTGTAAATAATGCTACAGTGAACATAGGGGTGCATATATCTTTTCAGATTAGTGTTTTGTTTTCTTTGGGTAAATACCCAGAAGTGGAATTGCTGGATCATATGGTAGTTTTATTTTTAATTTTTTGAGGAACTTTTCCATAGCAGCTACACTAATTTACAATCCCACCAATAGTGCACAAGTGTTCCCTTTTCTCTACATCCTTGCCAACACTTGTTATTTGTTGTGTTTTTGATTAATAGCTGTTCTGACAGGTATGAGGTGATACCTCATTATGGTTTCACTTTCCGCTTGCCTGATGATAGTGATGTTGAGCATCTTTTCATGGGTCTGTTGGCCATCTGTATGTCTTCTTTGGGAAAATGCCTATTCAGGTCTTCTGCCAATTTTTCAGTCAGGTTTTTGGGGTTTTTTTATGTTGAATTATATGAGTTCTTTGTATATTTTGGATATTAACCCCATCTGATATATTCTTTACAAATATCTTCTCCCATGCAGTAGGCAGCCTTTTTGTATTGTTGGTAGTATCCTTCACTGTGCAAAAGCTTTTTGTTTGATGTTGTTCGATTTGTTTATTTTTGCTTTTGAATCCCTTGTCTGAGGAGACATCCAAAAAAAAAAAAAAAAAATTGGGGCTTCCCTGGTGGCGCAGTCGTTGAGAGTCTGCCTGCCAATGCAGGGATCGCACGTTCGTGCCCCGGTCCGGGAGGATCCCACATGCCGCGGAGCGGCTGGGCCCGTGAGCCATGGCCGCTGAGCCTGCGCATCCGGAGCCTGTGCTCCGCAACGGGAGAGGCCACAGCAGTGAAAGTCCCGTGTACCGCAAAAAGAAAAAAAAACAAAATTGATAAAAAACTGCCGTCAAAGAGCATATTGCCTATGTTTTCTCCTAGGAGTTTTGTGGTTTAAGGTCTTAGATTTAAGTCTTTAATCTATTTTGAGTTTATTTTTTATATGGTATAAGACATGAGACTTTTGCATGTGGTTGTTCAGTTTTCCCAATAACATTTATTGAAGAGGCTGTCTTTTCCCCATTGCATATTCTTGCCTCCTTTATCATAGATTAAATGACCATATAAGCATGTGTTTATTTCTGGGCTGTCTATTCTGTTCCATTAACCTATATGTCTGTTTTTGTGCCAATGCCATTTTGGGTTTTTTTGGGTTTTTTTGTTTTTATGCGGTACACGGGCCTCCCACTGTTGCGGCCCCTCCCATTGCGGAGCACAGGCTCCGGACGCGCAGGCCCAGCGGCCATGGCTCACGGGCCCAGCCACTCCGCGGCATGTGGGATCCTCCCGGACCAGGGCATGAACCCGCGTCCCCTGCATCGGCAGGCAGACTCCCAGCCACTACGCCACCAGGGAAGCCCCTGCCATTTTGTTTTAATTACTGTAGCTTTGTAGTATAGTTGAAACTCAGAGAGTGTAATACCTTGGGCTTTGTTCTTCTTTCTCAAGATTGTTTTGGCTATTTGGTGTTTTTTGTGTTTCCATATAAATTTTAGAATTATTCTAGTTCTGTAAAAAATGCCATTGGTATTTTTATAGAGTTTGCATTGAATCTATAGATTGCCTTGGGAAGTATGGTTATTTTAACAATATTCTTCCAATCCATGAGCACAGTATATCTTTCCATTTGTTTCTGTTGTCATCAATTTCTTTCATCAGTGTCTTATAATTTTCCAAGTATAGGTATTTTACCTCCTTGGTTAGATTTATTCCATGGTGTTTTATTCTTTTTGATGCAGTTGTAAATGGGATTGTTTTCCTAATTCCTCTTTCAGATAGTTTGTTGATACTGTATGGAAATGCAGCAGATTTCTGTATAGTGATTTTGTATCCTGCAACCTTACTGAATTCATTTATTAGTTCTAACAGTTTGGTTGTGTCTTTAGATTTTCTATATATAGTATCATGTCATCTGCCAACAGTGACAGTTTTACTTCTTCCTTTCCAATTTGGATTCCTTTTATTTCTTTTCTGATTGCTGTGGCTAGGACTTCCAGTACTATGTTGAATAACAGTGTCAAGAGTGGGCATCCTTGTATTGTTCCTTATCCTGGAGGAAATGCTTTCAGCTTTTCACCATTGAGTATGATGTTAGCTGTGTGCTTGTCATATATGGCACATATATGTGCCCTATATTTAGTATGTTCCCTCTATACCCACTTTCTTAAGAGTTTTTATCATGATTGGATGTTGAATTTGGTCCAAAGCTTTTTCTGAGTCTATTAAGATGATCATGTGATTTTTATTCTTCTGCTTGTTAATGTGGTGTATCATCATGTTGACTGTTCTGTGAATATTGAACCATTCGTGCATCCCTGGGCTAAATCCCACTTGATCGTGGTATATGATCCTTTTAATGTATTGTTGAATTCGGTTTGCTGATATTTTGTTGAGACTTTTTTCATCTATGTTCCTCAGTGATATTGGCCTGAGATTCTTTTTTGTGTGCTATCTTTGTCTGGTTTGGGTATCAGGGTGATGCTGGTCTTGTAGAATGAGTTTGGAGGCATTCCTTCCTCTTCAGTTTTGGAAAGGTTTGAGAAGAATAAGTGTTAACTGATTTAAATTTTTGGTAGAATTCACCAGCGAAGCCAGCTGGTTCTGGACTTTTGTTTGTTATTACTGATTCAGTTTCATTACTGGTAATCGGTCTGTTCATATTTTCTGTTTCTTCCTGATTTAGTCTTAGGAGATTGTACATTTCTAGCAATTTATTCATTTTATTGGCCTGTAATTGTTCATAGTAATCTCTTATGATCCTTTGTGTTTCTGTGGTGTCAGTTTTAACTTCCCCTCTTTCATTTCTGGTTTTGTTTGGTCCCTCTCTCTCTTCTCTTGATGATTCTGACTAAAGGTATATCAATTTTGTTTTTCTTTTCAAAGAAGTAGCTCTTAGTTTCATCGCTTTAGAATTTCTTCTGCTAACTTTGGGTTTTGTTTTTTCCTTTTCTAGTTCCTGTAGGGATAAGATTAGCTTGTTTGAGATTTTTCTTGTTTCCTGAGGTAGGCTTGTTTCACTGTAAGATTCCCTTAGAACTGCCTTTGCTGCTTCCCATAGATTTTGAATCGTTGTGTTTACATTTTTATTTGTCTCCAGGTGTTTTTGAAATTCTTCTTTGGTTTCTTCATTGGTGCACTGGTTGTTGAGGAGCATATTGCTTAGCCTCCGTGTTTTGTGTTTTTTGAAGTTTTTTTCATGTAGTTGATTTCTAGTTTCATAGTGTGGTTGGAAAAGATGCTTGATATGATTTCAGTCTTCTTAAATCTACTGAGACTTGTTTAGTGGCCTAGCATCATGTGATCTATCATGGAGAATGTTCCATGTGCACTTGAAAAGAATGTATATTCTGCTGCTTTGGGCTGGAATGTTTTATATATTTATATATATATGTGCGCACCATTGGGTCTAATGTGTCATTTAAGGTGTTTCCTTATTGATTTTATGTCTAGATGATCTATTCAATGATGTGAGTGGGGTGTTAAAAGTCTCTTAGTATTATTGTATTGCTTTCGGTTTCTCCCTTTAAGTCCATTAATGTTTGCTTTATAGATCTTAGTGCTTCTGTGTTAGGTGTATATACATTTATGTTACATCTTCTTGCTGGATTGACCTGTTTATCATTATGTAATGCCTCTTCAGTCTTTGTTTCAAAGTCTATTTTGTCTGAGTATAGCTTTTCATTTCATAGAGTATCTCTTTCCATCCCTTCACCTTCAGTCTGTGTCTCTCCTTATTTCTGAAATGAGTCTTTGGTAGGCCACATGTAGATGGGCCTTATTTTTTAATCCATTCAGTACTCTATGTCTTTTGAGTGGCAAATTCAGCCCATTCACATTTAAAATCATTATTTTATAGGTATGTACTTACTGCCATTTTCTTAATTATTTTCTGGTTGTTTTTGTAATACTTTTGGAAAAGTTAGCTAATAGTCTTATGGGAGTTCCTTTGTATGTAACTAGTTGCTTTTCCCTTGCCGCTTTTAAGATTCTTTAATTTTTGCCATTTCGATTACAATATGTCTTGGTGTGGACCTCTTTGGGTTCATCTTATTTGGGACTCTCTGGGCCTGCATGTCTGTTCGTTTCCCAGGTTCAGTTATTATCTCTTCAAACAGTTCTCTGCCCCTTTCTCTATTCTCAAGTTCCCTATTATGTGAACGTTAGTGCACTTGATATTGTCCCAGAAGTCTCTTAAACGATTTTCTTTTCTCTTTTCTTTTTTCTGTTTAGATTGGGTGATTTCTACTACTCTGTCTTCTAGTGTGCTGATCTGCTCCTTTGTGTCAACTAATCTACTCTTGATTCCTTCCAGTGTATTTTTTGTTTCAGTTACTGTGTTCTTCAGCTCTGGTTCTTCTTTATATTTTCTAACACTTTATTAAAAACTTCTAACGTCTCACTGTGTTCCATCCATTCCTCTCCCAAGTTCATTGAGCATCTTTATGATCATTACCTTGAACTTAGCAGGTCAATTGCCTGTCTCCCCTTTGCTCAGTTCTTCTGGGGTTTTATCTTATTCCTTTGTTTGTAACATATTCCTCAGTCTCCTCATTTTGCCTAATTCTGTTTTTATTTTTGTGTGTTAGGTAAGTTGGTTACATTTCCCAATCTTGGAGAACTGGACTTTTGTAGGAGACGTCCTATGGGGCCCAGCAGCACACACCCCTCTGGTCACCACATATATGCTCTAGGGTCACCCCCTTTGAGGGCAGAGCTGACTACCACAGGAACACTGGTAGGTGGGGCTGCCAGGTCACCTACCCAAGTGTGTGGGTCTTGACTCTACCATGTCTCTGCCCCACTCCTTCTCATTGTGACTCCTTCATATCTTTAGTTGTGGAAGATTATTTTCTGCTAGTCTTCCAATCATTCTCATCTATGGTTGCTATATCTACAGTTCTAATTGTGGAGTGCCCATGGAGGAGGTGAGCTCAGGGTCTTCCTACTCTGCCATCTTGGCCACCCCCCCACCCCCCGTTTTTTGGTTCATGAAATAGTCCACACATCCGTTTGCCAGTCATTTCAAATATCCTCACCTGCTTCCTCTGCCCATTTGATACTGATCTTCATGTTTACATAAATGGCATCTTGCATATTTTTTTTAATAAAGGAGGCTTGGATAGGTTGAGGTCTGCATGCGTTTAAGAACAGTAGTCAACTAAACTCGAGTGTTAGGGCCTCTTGTAAGATCACATGTCACTACTGGTGGCTGGGTTAGGGGACTCTGAAGTTGCAGAGGAACGGGTACACATCAGGCTCTGGTGTTAGAGAAAGAGATGGCCCACAGGTAAAAGCTGTGTACTTCACCTTTGGGAGAATTCAGATTCCCAGGAATTAGACAGCTCAGTCAGTCCAAATGCTGCTGTCCCTGCCCTTCCTGCCTGTCATTAGTCCCCTGGAGAGGTGAAAGTCGGCACTTGGTGTATATTTTGAGTGAGGAGAAACCGTGTGTGTGTGTGTGTGTGTGTGTGTGTGTGTGTGTGTGTGTGTGTGTG